CTGAGCGATAGAGCACTGGCCTAACATGCTCGAGGCCCTGGGTTGGATCCTCAGTACCCCCCCAAAAAATAAATCAACAAAATGAAGATATTGTGTCCAACTACGACTAAGAAATAAAAAATAATGTATCACTTTCACATCTTAACCATGTTGTTGTGTGTTAGCATAGTTGGTAATATTTAAGTCTGACAGCAGAAATGATGTGGGGCTCTAATATTGCAGTCATGTTTTTTTTAAAGGAAATTCCTCCTTAACTCTTACCCTGAAAATAAGGGTTAGTGATAACTGTACAAAGACATTGTTTTCTTAAAGAGAACATTTTGTTTATCCTACATGCTTAATCTGGTTTATGGATAAAGTCCTTGAAATCATTGACCCATCCTGTTTCTATTTTTGAGATACATAAAACTATTTTTTCATCAAGATGTTCCTTCTGTTCAATTTCACACCTTGTATGGGTTTCTGGACTTCTCTGTACCCTTTATATTCTTTTAGTCTCTAGGGTCCCAGTCCCTCGTCTGCTGAGCCAGTTTTATAGACTCAGCCAAAATAAGAAAATGAAATGAGGCAAAGGGATGAACCTGATTAATCTATTAAATTTATAAGTACTCCTGTTTACTTCCTTCTTGGCTCTAATTTGATTTTAAACCTAGTGCCTGATTCTTTTTTTWAAAAAGTGAATTTAGGATTCCAGTATTTTAAAAGAATTGAAGTCCTATTGTCTTCTCAAAAGCTCACAGAATTGTGTTAGAATTACTAGAAATATAAAATCTGGGCTGGTGATGTAGCTTAATGGTAGAGTGCTTGTCTAGCATGTATAAATACCTGGACACTACAAAAAAGTACATACATATGAGGCCCTGTTCTGGAACTGGGCTCAGTCATTTTAACACTGCGGCCAGATGTTTTATGTGAACATCAGTGTTTCAAAGGCACAGCTGTAATCTATAGTTTTGTTTAGAGGGGAAAACTGGCACTTTATTCAACAAAATATTAACTTTCCTGTGTTCCAAAGGTTCAAAATAAAGAAACCATGTTATAAATTAGCAATTTACTGAGGCTGTGGTGGTTTTTTTTTTTTGTTTGTTTTGTTTTGTTTTAATATTTTAGCTGTAGTTGGACCCAATACCTTTATTTTTATATGGTGCTGAGGATGGAACCCAAGACCTGGCATGTGCTAGGCAAGTGCACTACTGGTGAGCCACAACCCCAGCCCCTGAGGCTGGTTTTGAACTTGTGATTCTGTTTCAACCTCCCAAGCCACTGGGATTATAGGCATGCTATGTTACAAATTTTAAAGTTAGAAGACAAATGATTTTTCAATTATTCCTTCAATAAAGATAAAACAGTCCTTTGGGACATGGCAGGTTACATCTAGGAATTGACTCAAGTTTTCTAGGTGTCAAAGAAGGGAATAGTATTTCATACAGGAGGGTTAGCATATATTGAGACTATAGATGTGAAGATCCCACATTTGGGGTTTACAGAGAGCATGAAGTTGTAATGAGGGAGAAAAGAGGTGAGAGCTTGGATTGTAAACTTTGTTTTTGTCCACACTTTGTGAATAGTGTGTCACAGGCATGGTTCCAAACAGTAGCCAATGTAGCAGGTATTTATTATCCTCTATAGAGGATAGGAAAGAAGCACAGAAGCAAATGCAAGTCAGTGTTCAAATCCTGGTAGTCAAGGGAGGAGAGGGATTCAAGAATGAGGGAGTAATTGATGCATTAATGAAAAATTAAGGCTTCCTTAGATAAGAGCTGAAAATCCCCACTGGATTTATCAGATCACTGGCAAGTTTAGCAATTTCAATTTTAAGTTAAAAGGTGTGTGTGTATGTTACATTAAAATGGTTAGGAAAGTACCCAAGAAAGGAAAGGATCAGGTAGTAGGTCCACATTAGGGAAGCAGAAATTTCATGGTATGAAGGGCAGTGGAGTCAAATCTGTATTTGGATGGCTCTGCCACTTCTGTGTGATGCTGAGTCAAATGGCAAATTGTCCAAGGAAGCCTCAGATTAGGATTTAAGATTTTTCATAAAATCTTTCATAAAGCCGTTGCAGGGTGGTTTTGAGGATTAAATGAGATTAATGTATATGAAGTCCCTGGAACATGGTAGGTACTCTAAAATGAAATTAATGTTGAGGGATGGTTGGTTTGTAAAAAGAATTTTTCTAGATTGAGAAACCCAAAATGAATTTAGTTGAATTCTAGATTGAGGCCCAAAAGAGTCTATAGGGAGAGGGAAGGGATTGATCTGTGGTTTCACAACTGGTGAAACCTGCTGTCTGGTGCTCCCTTCTCAAAGGAGAAGTGACGCCAGAATGTCGACTTGGATGAATACACACAGTGTATGCTCAAGCAAAGTATTCCTTTAGCGCTAAGTATGCCTCCCAAGTGATCTGGAAGGGGCTGCTGGAGACTGCGGAGTTACCTCCCGGTAACACTCCTTTGACGCAGATACTCACCCAGGACACTCTGGCAACTCCAGAGCCGGCTAGATTTTCTTATCACAAGCGCATGATGGTCTGGAGGGATTTCCTCTGCTTTGGCTTCGCAGGCTTCGCTGGCTTCGCTGGGCGCCTCGCTGTGAGCGCCCGCATCCCTTCCCCCACCACTGGAGACAAACCTGGCGGTGCTCTGCGCACGCTCCGGAGCCGCAGCCGCTCGGCGCCTCCTAGCAACCCGACGCCTAGGGAGAGGAATGGCCTCAATGGACCAAGCAGTTGTCACCGAAGCCTCCAGCGCAGCATTAGAAGATCTCGGGCGCGGAGAACCGATAGTGTTTGTCAAGCCCCCGGTACGGTGGTACTCCTCTGGCCGCCCCACCACCGTACCCCTCTCTGGACCCCTGTCCTTTTCCCAGTCTCTCTACTCGCAGGCTCTGGCGCCCCTAGGCGCTCCCTCTCCCTGTGGTTCTCTTCCTGCCTTCACGCCTACACTGCAGTCCTTTCTTCCTGTCATTATTTGATCTTTACTTCGTATTTCCTTTTCCCTTACTGCCTCTCTTATTCTCCCCTTTATCCTTTGTTTTCCACATTTCCCTCATTGTCCATTACTAATTGCTCTGGGAAAATACATCAGTAGAGTGATTAGATTTCTTCACCTTTTCAGAGACTCGATTCCCTGCCCCGCCCGTCCCTGTGGTGGTGCTGGGGATTGAGAGAATGGAAAAATTTCCTTCCTTAGTCCATCACTTTTTCCCCTGTCTCTTACTTTAGTACCTACAAAAATGTTTGAAATTGCCTTTGTTTAGTTTTTAAATAAATTTGAGTGAGGGGAGTTTTATCTTTTCCCTTTGACAGTGAATTTAAAACAGTAGATGGGTGGAATTTAGATTACCTGCCTGGRGCCAAACAAAACATCAGCTTCTGTTAGCTTCCTTTGGATTTATCATGCTTACCTCTCTAATCTTTCTACTTCATTTCTCTGCTTTTGGGTGGAGATGGGAGACCTGCCTTGATCTTCCTGAGAAAGTTTTCCTTCTGTAACTATTAAATGTGCTACAGGAGATTCAACACACATATTTAACAAAGGAATGTTTAAAAAGAAGTTCAGGCTTCATATTGTGTATGAAACTGTTTTTTGTTTGTTTTGCTTTTGTTTGTTTTTAGAGAAATGCACATATTTCATAGTAAAACTAAAGCCCTGTGATATTCATAAGTAGAGTGGATTTCAGTTATAAGACAAAAAGAATTATGTCAGGTTCTTTTTACTGATTACATTATTTTTWAAAAAAAATCTTTATTTTAATGTGGTGCTGAGGATTGAGCCCAATGCCTCACACATGCCAGGTGAGCACCGCTACCACTTGAGCCACATCCCCAGCCCCTGATTAAATTATTTTTAATACATTCTTGCTTGAGATAACCCATATTTCATAGTAATAACAAATATATTATAAAATGAAATGAGCTGGATGTGRTGGCACATGGCTATAATCCCAAGTACTCAGAGGCTAAGGCAGAAGGATCAGGAGTTTAAGACCTGCCTGGGCAACTTAGCAAGACCCCCTATCAAAATACAAATATTTTTAAAAGTGCTGGGGATATAGTAGAGAGCCCCAGAATTCAATCCCTAGTACTGGGGGGTGGGGAGTACAACTCAATATTTTAACTATTTTTACCTACTAGAAATAATACAAAAGAGTAAAACTAAACAATTGTGGGCAGTGAGGCTAAAACAAATGTGGAAAATAATCAATAAGAGCACTTAACTATGGAAGACACGTTTTTTGAAAATTGAGGATACCAAAATAACCTGCTTCCTACTTTGGCAGAGGAAGTGTTAAAACTGAAAGCTATCCAGGTGCAGTGGCACACACCTGTAATCCCAGCTTCTCAGGAGGCTGAGGCAGGAGGATCAAGTTCAAAGCCAGYCTCAGTAACAGCAAAGTGCTAAGCAACTCAGTGAGACCTGTCTCTGAATAAAACACAAAATAGTGCTGGGGATGTGGCTCAGTGGTTGAGTGCCCCGAGTTTAATCCCCAGTACCCACCCTCTGAAAATGAAAGCTATCATTTATTGAACACTGGTTGTAGGTGCAAGTCTTTATGTGTACTATACCATATTCTCATGCCATGTCAGCAGTATCTCAGTTTTATACTCAAGTGAGAAAGTGAGAAAGCAGTGCACGCGAGGATTGAGTAATTTGCCCAGTGTACTTAGCTGTTACATGAGGGAGCCACAGTTCAAGCCCTACCCTATTCCTCAAAAGAACATCAAATTTTGTTACATCTAATATCCTTCCAGCACCTCAGTGAGTTGAAAATATTTATTACTCTAATTTTATCAAAAGGAATTTAGATATTTAAAAGCATTTAAAATCATAAAAGAGCAATTTAAGGAAATGTCATGGGCAAAATTTATCATTCTCTAGCTTTTATTTTAATGACAGTTTGATGCAGGTATTAATTTCTTCAAGTAATGTTTTATAAATTTAATTTCAGGGGAATTACCTCTCAAATGAATAAGCATATTTTGTATTTGTTAATAGAAACCAAGCCAGAAGAGTTCCTCTTTTCAAAGAGAAAGCTGGTGGAGAATAGCATTAACAGTGTGTATATTTTTGGTCTTTCCTCTTCAAATTATTTTTGTTCCCATTAAAATTTTAATCATTCTTACCCTTTAAATCAGTAACACTTAATTGTAAAAAAAAAAAAAAAAAACAGTTATCATGTAGGTCTACATGGGCCTCATTTCATGCTTATAATTTTAATATTAGCATACAAATGAGAAATTCACTTTAAATTTCGAATGTAATGGAAACTTATGAAGTAAAACAACTCTAGGAATCCATGTGCTTTACAAAATATCTAAATAAAGTGAACTTTTGATCTTCTGATCTTGGTGACACTGGACAAGAAAGAAAAAACATCTATTCCAGAAAGGCGACTTGGCTTCAGATTTTCTCATAGATGGTACGGAACCTATGATAACACTTAACATGATCAGTGTATACAAAATGTTTAAGAACAAGATGGTAATATATGAAAGAAAAATGACCAAAAGATCACTTGTAATGAAGATCATTTGTAATGAATCTCCATGGGTCAAAGCCTTCTTGGAATTGATCTAATTTTAATGGCTCAGCTCATTGGAAAAAGTGGCTGCAGAACAGCAGTTCCAATCTGGCCATTGAGCCACACTGTGGTTGTGATTTGAAGGTACCAAACCTCTTTTGGAACTAAGTAGACCATATGCTCTGCCAGTTCATCCTCAGGCTCATGTTATTATGTGGTAGCTTCCCACCTGAGGCTAGTTGAAACATAAAAGTAGGATAAGCAAAAAAAAAAAAAAAAAAAAGTAGGATAGCTTTTAGTTGACCAAGAAGCTGTCTTGAGTAATCTCACTAGAGGCCTGAAATATATACTCAAAATTTAATTGGCAAATATAAGTATATGTCTGAGGTTACCTTTTTAAAAAATTAAATTTTAACTATTACCCATTTGTGTTAATTCAGGATTTGTTTCAGAAAAGAAATAATCACGATTCTCTTGAAATACTGTTCTGTCAAGGGTGTTATATGTACCAGCACAGTGGTGCACGCCTGTAATCCCAATGGTTTGGGAGACTGAGACAGGAGGATTGTGAGTTCAAAGGCAGCCTCAGCAATGGCAAGGCACTAAGCAACTCAGTGAGACCCTGTCTCTAAATAAAATACAAAATAGGCCTGAGGATGTGGCTCAGTGGTTGAGTGCCCCTGAGTTCAATCCCAATACAAAAAAAAAAAAAAAGAAAGAAAGAAAAAAGAAAAGAAAAAAAGAGTATTATATGTGATAGAACTTCATTAAATTTAAAAATAAAGTAGTTTGCTACTTAGGAATGACTCTTCTAGGAATGGTGCTTTGGGGAAAGTTAAAGATTTACAGTGATCTTAAAACTGCTGTCAATTTTCCACAGAATACTCCTATACCTGGCACTTATCACTTGAAAACTTTTATTGAAGAATCCCTATTAAATCCAGTGGCAGCAACCTACAATTTTAAAAATGAAGGAAGGAAAAAGCCACCTCTTGTGCAAAGAAACAATCCAGTCTTAAATGATCTTCCACTGTACATGCCTCCTGACTTCCTGGACCTGTTAAAGAAGCAATCGGCCAGTTACTCCTTCAAAGACAAGCCCCGGCCCAGCCCCAGCACATTAGTTTACAAAGATAAGGTAAAGTTCTACTAGCAGATTGGGTTTTGTGGGAAAGCTACTAAAAGCTCCAGAGGAAGAGATTCTGTATTATGTACCCCGCTCCACACACAAGGGGAAAATGGCAAACCTCTAGGTTGTCTCACTTCTTATAGTGAGACAGCCAGAACTGCCTGGCTTGCAAATGAATCCAGAAAGATTTTTCCTCATGAGGTATTCTAAACCTAAGGATAGAACTTTGGGGGGAAATTTTCCCCTCTGGGGTCACTCTTATCAGGGTTCCCCTCTGGGATCTTATCTATGTTTGAGCCATGTTCTAGCTTCTTCAAGCAGTTGATATGGTGAACCCTCTTCGTTCAAAGAGAAAACCCTGGATCTGGGTGAGTATTCCTATTAGAACATGCATAGAACTATCTACTGCAAGAAGATTTTAAAATATTTTCTTGGCTGAGGTGTAGCTCAGTGGTAGAAACAAGTTCCTGAATTAGAAATATTTAAGTAACAATATAAGACAAAATATATCAAGTGCTGAGATGAATAATGCTGCAGGAAATGCCAAGGGAAAGCTCAAGGTAGGCTGGACTGGAAGGCTGGAAAGCTCCCTGGATTAAGTAGGATTTAGCTGGACCTTGACCCTTCCATGCATATTCTCTTAGTTGCTTCTTCATCTTCTGAAGTAGCTTGAACAGATATCATCTCCTCTACTTGCAACAAAGCTGTGCAAATAGAGACTTAGTAACTTGTTCTAAGACACATGATTTGATAAATAAGAGGTAAGGACCACTCACTGAGGGCTTTTTAACCCAGATTCAGTCTTCTTTCCAATCTACCACCTGTCCCCCACCTTGAATGAGGGGCAAGGTTTTGACAGGTGGAATCCCAAGGAGGCCCCTGCAGTGGGGAACCTCATCTTGTTGAAGGCATCCAAGTGGCAGCAGTAGGCCCTGTTCCAGGGACAGAGCTGTGACTTGGACTCTGGGTACTTGTCTCAGTTCTCTGTGCCCTAATGTCCATTGACTGGAAAGGAGACACTAATAGTATCAGTCTTCACTTTATTAGAATATTATTATCATAATCTAAGAAGTCCACGGCAACAAATGTCTGACTTAAAAACAAGGAAGTGCGATTGCCAAGTGGACTAGAATTTTCAGCAGGATGAGCACATGTGTCCAACGTGTAGACCCTTCTTACCGCTGTATGAATTATAACCGTAAAACAGAACAGAATGATAAATGTTCATTGGGTAAATCTTATTCTATTTGCTTTAGTGGATAAATATAAACACTAAGTTATCTTTGGACTTTTATGACTTGTTATCAGGTAACCAAGCCACATGTGACCCTGCTCTGAGTACTCCAAACACAAAGGCATCCTATTGTTCTCTCTCCTGCCATTTCTCTCCTTTCTGTTCCATTTTTTCTTGCTCCTATGGGTCTCTAAGCATTGGCTCAAAGGCCCATCGTGGAAAGGGGAAAACGGAGAAGTTTGTTATTAGGTAAAACTTATAAGACCAAATGAATTCAGCTTACCTAGAAGGATGAACAAACTTTCTGAAAACACTTCTTCTGTTTTTTTTTTCTCTTGTCTTTCCTCCCCACCTCTCACAAAAGATTAAGCTCCAAGAACTAGAAATATTCAATGTTTTTCCTAATTTTCTATTCCAAAGGTATTTGAGAATATATTCACAAAGGGAGTGATATTTATATATAACTTTGTATACCCACCTATAAAAGTAAAAAGTCTGGTGTTTTAAATAGCAGAATTCAGAATAATTTGGATTTGGGGTAGATATTGTAGAAATTAGTGTTGTTACTAAGACAGGACAACATTCTTATGTTCTATCCTTTTTAATAGAAATATTCACTTTATACCTCATCAAGGCTACATTTTTATTCCTAAGAAAGTTTTTCSTGGCTCAGTGGTGCATGCCTATAATCCCAGTTCTCTGAGAGACTGGGGCAGGAAGATCACAAGTTCAGCCTGAGTCACTTAGCAAGACTTTGTTTTGTAAAAAGGGCTGGTAGAGTGCTTGCCTAGCATGCTCCGGGCCCTGAGTTCTTTCCTGCTTGCCCCAATACACATGAAAAGAAAGATGTGGGTTTTTTTTTTTTTTTTTTTTTTTACTATTTTTGTACCTTTGTTCTGAAGTATGTATGTAACTCAACTGGACAATCTCTATCAAGTCTTTTTTTTAATATTTATTTTTTAGGTGTAGTTGGACACAATACCTTTATTTAATTCATTTACTTTTATTTATTTTTGTTAAATATTTTTTTAGTTGTAGTTGGACACAATATCTTTATTTATTTTTATGTGGTGCTGAGGATCGAACCCAGTGCCTCACATGTGCTAGGCAAGCGCTCTACCACTGAGCTATAGCCCCAGCCCTCGAGGAGTCTTATTAAGTGTGTGTGAGGGTGTGTGTGTGTTTTCGTATGCATGCATATGCTTATCTATATCTGGCCCTTTCCAAAGAGGATTTGAGGTGGTCTCACAATGTTTACAATAGCTTTTTTTTTTATGTCAGAGAAATAATGTTTTCATTGTAGAGAATATACACAGTTTGTGGCTTCCTTTTTCTTGGTGTCACAATTATCCACTGGCCTCAGAGTTACCTAATCCCTTTGCTTTTTGATGATTTTTAGCTCCCTTACCTCATGGACACACCTTTCCCTACACCTGTCATGATTTCAATACACAAGTGGAGGATCTTCCAACAACCTGGTTTCTTGACCTCTCCTCCACCCTGCCGCTTACTTCATATATATTTTTTTTTTCCTTTTTAGGTACTGGGGATTGAATTCAGGGGCACTCAACCATTGAGCCACATCTCCAGCCATATTTTGTATTTTATTTAGAGACAGGGTCTCACTGAGTTGSGTAGTGCCTTGCTATTGCTGAGGCTGGCTTTGAATTAGCGGTCCTCCTGCCTAAGTCTCCCACACCACTGGGATTACAGGCTTGCACCATTGTGCCCAACTACTTCTTAGATTTAAAAAAAAATTTTAATTAGTTGTTGATGGACCTTTATTTATTTATATGTGAGAATCATACCCAGTGCCTCCTACATGCTAAGCAAGCACTCTACCACTGAGCCACAATCCAAGCCCCTTAGATTTTTTGTAAGAGCTGTAATTTCACTCCTCCATAATCTCAGTTACATGAAGGCAGTTCTCTGGTGCTAACCTAGTATACTAACCCCAACAATTTCTTCATCCCCCTGTATAGCCCATTGATTTTCCTATCTTTTCACTTCCCCGCAAACCCTGATGTTCTCTCTTCCTCACAAAGCTTGAATTTCCTAATTAATCATCATAGTTGCTTCCCATGATATTTAATTGACARTGCACTGCAGTTCCCTTGGCCCTGACTATTCCTCTCTCCCTCATTTGGCAAAGCYGCACCCTGGTTAAATTTCATTGCACACATTACACCTGAATTTCTGTGGCTAAATGCCTAGTATCATCTTAAACCCTTCACCTCCATTGGGCACTGAAAGGACTTCCTTAGTTTGTTAACTTTCCCACTTTCCTGGGTGGCCTGTGTCTTTTCAAACCTCTAACATCTCCTTGATCTTGACTTTTTGGCCTTTGCTGTCTTTGTTATTTCCCCAAAAAAAACTGTTGACCTGGGAGTGCCCCCAGGCTTTCAGACCTCTTCTCCATCTGCATTGTCCCCTGGGATGCTGATCTTGTCCAATCTTAAGGCTATGAACACCATCTATTTTGGTGATTACCACATACTTATCTCCTGTTTAGACTTCTCCTTTGAAGTCCCTCTGTCTTTTCAACATCTCTACTTGCAAGTCTAATCCAGGGTTTTTCAGCCTCAGCACTATTGATATTTTGATAGGATAAATCTTCATGTGGGGAGCTGTTCTGTGCTTTGTAGGGTGTGTAACAGTTTTCCTGGCCTCTACTCACTAGATACCAGTCTCCCTTCCCAATTGTAATACCCCAAAATATTACGAGACGTTGCCAAATGTCCACTGATGTGAAAATGCTCCTAGGTGACAACACTGAGTTAAGGCAGTATTGTGGTGGATGTGATCTCTAAGTGGTTTTTCTCAGGGTCGACAGGCCTATGGTGAATGGGGTTTCTTTCTCAGCAAATTCAACTATTGGTGTATAAAAATGCTACTTTTTTTTTGGACATGTTGATTTTGTATCCTGCATCTTAACTGAATTTATTTTCCTAGTCTAACAATTATTTAGTAGAGTCTTTAAATTTTTTCCATATATAAGTCAAGTCATGTTGTCTGCATGTGAGTATCTCTGACTGGGTGTCACTTATCGTTCTTGAAATTTTATTTTTCAAGAACATTCCCCAAGGCCTGGAACTTGTAATCTTCCTGCTTTAGCCTCCTGAGTCACTGGGATTTCAGGTGTGTGCCACCACACCCAGCAAGCTAATGATAAAATTAACAACAATATGATTGCTATAATGAGGCATGCTGCTTTTTTAAGAAGTCCTATGTGTCTGTTTCTCAGACCTTAAAACATCTGAGCAGTGAGTCACTGATGTTTCCACATGGATGAAGAAAGCCCAAGAGACTTCTCCAAGAAAAGAGAATGAAATTTCTACCACTAGCACCTGGAAATGCTGCACCTGCTGGCTCTTTGGCTCTGTTCACCTTATAATGATTCTGATGGTGGCTTCTCAAGTCTGAGTTCCCTAAACAGGGTCACAATGATTTCTGGTTTCTAGTCCTGTGTGTAAGACTGAAAAAACCATAATATTCAATAACTGTGGGACAACTGCACAGTGTGTTTTATATATATATATATATATAATATTTATATATTATATATAAATATATATATCATATATTATATATATGTATATAATATTTATATAAATACAAAAGCAGGGGAGAAAGGAAGAGAAATATTTGAAAAAATATTGACTGAGAATTTCCCAAATTAAATGTCAGATACCGAACCATAGATCTGGGAAGCTCAGTGAACACCAAGCAGGATAAAAACCAGAACAAAACACAGCCATAATTAAATATATCACTTTCAAACCCCAGAAAATTAGAGACAGAAAAAAAAATTCTGAGTGGGTGAAGAGACACCTGTAGAGGGACCGAGATAAGTGTTGCCTCCAACTTCTCTTCCAAAATCTCACAAACAGAAAGAGCCTGAAATGAAGTATTTAAAATATTGAAAGGAAAATCACACCAGCTTAGAAATCTGTACCCTGTGAAACTCTTTCAAAAGTGAAGCAGAAGCCAGGTGTGGTGTTGTACACCTGTAATCCCAGCGGCTGGGGAGGCTGAGGCAGGAGGATCGCTAGTTCAAAGCCAGCCTCAGCAAATGGTGCTAAGCAACTCAGTGAGACCCTGTTTCTAAAGAAAATACAAAATACGACTGGGGATGTGGCTCAGTGGTTGAGTTCCCCTGAGTTCAATCCCCAGTACCCCGCCCCCCCCAAAAAAAAGTGAAGCAGAAATAGAGACTTTCTTGGACAAACAAAAGTTGAAGAAATTTGTTACCAGTAGATCAGCTTTGCAAGAAATCTTCAAAGAACTTCATTAAAGAAAAAGAAGTTAATACAGGTCAGAAATGAAGAGCCTTTGAAGAAGGAATAAGTGAAGGTAAAAAATCAAAGTTTCATTTTTTTAAAATTTTATTTTGAAGTGCTGGGATTGGACCCAGAGGCACCCTAACACTGAGCTATACCCCAAAGCCCTTTTAATTTTTTCTTTTGAGACAGAGTCTAAGTTGCCCAAGCTGGTCTTAGACTTGTGATTCTTCTGCATAAGGCCTTGGGTTTGTCCCCACCCMCACCACCAAACCCCCCCAAAAAAAAGAAAGGAGGAAAAGAAAAAGAGAAAGAAAGCAGGACAAGCTATATTGATTTAAGAGAGCAAGGAAACATATCAGAGATAGAGGGCATTATATAAATAAAGGGTTCAATACTCCAAGAAGATATAAAAATATGTTAGGCAATATGTGTGTGCCTAGCAACAGACCTTTAAAACATGTGAGGCAAAGCAGATGGGATTACAAAGATAAACAGATGAATCCTTATTATAGTTGGAGACTTACACAACCCTTTATCAAAAGCACAGAAAATCAGCAAGGATATAGTTACTCAATAACACCATCAATCAACTGCTATAATTGATGTCTATAGACTACTTCATCTAGGAACAGCAGAAAAAAAATCTTCTCAGGCTCACATGGAATATTCACTATAAGATAGACCATATTGGGGCTAGGGTTATGGCTCAGTGGTAGAGCACTTGCCTAGCATGCATGAGGCACTGGGTTCAATCCCCAGCACCACATAAAAAACCTAAATAAACAAAATAAAGGTACTGTGTCCATCTACAACAAAAAATAATAATAATTTAAAAAAAGATAGACCATATTCTGGACCATTAAACACTCCTTAAGAAACTTAAGAAAAATCATAAAAAGTGGGCTCTCATGCCACAGTGTCATTAAATCAAAAATCAATAATAGATAATTGAAAATCCCCAAATATGCAGATACTAAGCAACATGCTTCTAAATAACACATGGATCAATTACATGATACTTTGAACTAAATAAAAATGAGAACACATTTCAACAAAATATGTGGGATATTGTGAAGTCAGAGCATAGCGGGAAACTGGTAATGTTGAATGCTTATATTAGAAAAGAAGATCGACAATCAAGCACCTAAGTTTCCTCCTTAGGAAAATAGAAAAAGAAGAATTATGGGCTGGGGATGTGGTTCAAGCGGTAGCGCGCTTGCCTGGCATGCGTGCGGCCCGGGTTCGATCCTCAGCACCACATACCAACAAAGATGTTGTGTCCGCCGAGAACTAAAAAATAAAATATATATAAAAAAAAAAGAATTAAGTAAATCCAAAGTAAGCAGAAGAAATAAAAATTAGAGCATAAATCAATGAAATTAAAAATGGCAGTAGAGAAAATCAATTAAATAAATGTTTTATTCAATAGATTGATAAAATTGACCTAGATTAACTAAGGAAAAAAAAGAGGATACAAATGACTAATATTAGAACAGAGGGGATATCGCTAAATCTCATACACACTAAAAGGATGATAAAGGAATGTTATGAACAATACTATGACCACAAATTTAATAACCTAAATGAAATGGACCAACGAATTCCTTGAAAGTCACAGTCTGCCAAAACTCATACAAGAAGAAATAGACATTCTGAATAGGTCTATAGCTATTAAATAAATTGAAATAATAGCAACCTTCCCAAACAGAAAATGTCAGGCCCACATGGGTTTATAGATGAATTCTACCAATCATTTAAGGAAGATATCATATTAATTCTTTATAATCCCTTCCAGAAGATAGAAATAGAGCACAACCTGTCTAACTCATCACCCTTATACCAAAAACAGATAAAAACATCACGAGAAAAGAAAATAACAAACCACTCCCATGTCTTTCATGAACATAGTTAGAAAAATCCTCAACAAAATACAAAAGTAACTACATATCACAACCAGGTGGAATTTATTCCAAGTATGAAAAGCTGGTTCAATATTCAAAAATAAAGAAATCTAATCTATCTGATCAGTTACTAAAGAAGAAAAGTCACGCAAGCATATCAGTAGATGTGGAAAAAGCATTTGTCAAAATCGACAACACCCATTCATGATAAAAAAAATTCTTAGTAAACTAGGAATATAAGGGAACTTCCTCAACCTCATAAAGAATATCTATTTTTAAAAAACCCTACAGCTAATATCATAGGTAACAATAAGGGTAGGAAACTAGAGGGTTTTCTACCGAGATGAGGGACAAGGCAAGGATATCCCTCTAATGCAATATGTCAAGAAAAGGAAGGAATAAAAATATAAAATAAAATAAAAATATTGTCCCTATTCATAAATGACATGATTGACTATGTAAATAATCCAAAATAATACATCCCCCCAAAAAAAACCTCCTACAAAAGTCAATTATTCACCTATATACCAGCAATGAACAAGTGGAATTTGAAGTTTAAAACAGAATACCATTAAAAAAAATCCCTCAGGAGCCAGGAGTGGTGGTAATTTTCTATAATACCAGCTATTTAGGAGGCTGAGGCAGGAGGATCACTAATTCAAGTTCATCCAGCGGAACTAGCAAGACCCTGGCTCAAAATATTCTGGAGGTGTAGCTCAGTGGTAGAGTGTTTGCCTAGCATGCACCAAGCCCTGGGGTCCCTGCATTCAATCCCCAGTTAATAAATGGGCCAAGGAACTGAACAGATACTTCTCAGAGGAAGATACACAATCAATCAACAAATATATGAAAAAATGTACAATATCTCTAGCAATTAGAGAAATGCAAATCAAAACTACTCTAAGATTTCATCTCACTCCAGTCAGAATGACAGTTATTAAGAATACAAGCAACAGTAAGTGTTGACAAGGATGTGGGGAAAAAGGCACACTCTTAAATTGCTGCAAATTGGTGCAGCCAATCTGGAGAGCAGTATGGAGATTCTTTAGAAAACTTGGAACGGAACCACCATTTCACCCAGCTATCCCATTCCTCATTTTATACCCAAGGGACTTAAAAACAGCATACTAAAAACTTAAAAACATTGATGCAGCCACATCAATGTTTATAGCAGTTCAATTCACAATAGCTAAACTGTGGAGCCAACCTAGATGCCCTTCAATAGATGAATGGAGCACCTTGCTTTTTAAGGGTCCTTTCCTTTCAATTCTCTTTCTTCTTTCTCCGTATGTATGTGTGTGTGTGTGTGTGTGTGTGTGTGGAGAGAGAGAGAGAGAGAGAGAGAGAGAGAGAGAGAGAGCGCTAGCGAGCATGCGCATGTAAGCACAGTTTAAGGTAAATAGAAAACATGCATGAACCATATCCAAAATCAAGAAATAGGATATTGTTGGCCCCCAAGAAAGCCTTTTGCTTAAAATTTGCTTCTCTGCTTCTGTAGTATGATGCAATCCCTTTGTTTCCTCTGTATTTATTATGTCAAGTGGGCAATTAGTAAAGCACAGGTGTGTCGCCACAGCATGTGTATTTCATCATAAATTCATATATACTGTTATCACTGTATCACAAAAAGCTGCCTCTGCAATCAAAATTGTGTGCTATCATGGGAAAAACAGCTGCAGGGTGAAATATAATAGCTGAACTTCCAGGTGACAGCTAGGCCAGGATGAGGATGCTTCATTTTCAACAAAGGCAGCATCATTTCTCAAAATTCTATATAAAAAATACCAGGAGATGGAGGGAGATGGTTCTCCTCAGCCTCCCGAGGAGTTTCTGATCCAGCTCCTGCAACAGGGTCTGGAGCTCCAGCCCTTGTTCCCTCCTGTTCCTCATTCTCCTTCCTCCCTTCACATATCCTCTTCTCCCTCATGAACTCCCTTGCTCCTCATCCTCTGGGCATCCACAGATAAAGGGACAACGGAGCCACCTAGATAGTCTGCAGCTATTTTGACATAGGGCAGAAAGACAGTTTCACTTGGAAGGCTCTTCTTGAAATTCCTCCTGGCTCCGCTTGAAGAAGTCCTCCCTTTCTTAAATGCCCCCCTCAAATCTCCTCCTCTTTGCTGTCTTTAGATCACCCCATTGGGTTTACTCTCCGCCCCCATTCCTGCCCTGGTTGTCAATCTATTTCAGCATTGACTACAGTGTTAGAATCATTCCTGAGGGTGCCTCTCACCCCTGCTGTCAGGGGCCATGTCTCTCTCACCACTGTATTTCCCACCACCAGCCCTGTAATAAATGGTCCAAGTGATTTTTTGACTCTAGCAATTCAAAATGTGATTAATGAGGCAGCATTTTCCCATGCAACATCTCAGGCAGATTGTCTATAAAATTCACCATGGAAAATGAATACATAATGAATGTTTGAGAGCTCAACCTTTGGAGAGGTATACCTTTCCTACTATTAAAGCAGAGAATAAATGATGAAATGTTTAGTGGTCATAAAATAAAGGATTATTGAATAAGAGATAATCAAGTGAGTTTATAACCTCTATTAATCTATTATTGTGTCCTTGTTCCTTCCATGTAGTCACTCCACCTTTACCCAGGGCAATACGAGATTCTTCCTACACCAGTTCCCAAGTACGCTTCCAGGTAATCAACGAAGTTACTTTTAATCATCTCATTCATGCCTATTTACAGACATATTTACATACCAATACTTGTGATTTAAACTTCATTTATGCACCTCATATTCAGATTAGCATTTTAAAATATTAAATGATACATAGGGAGTAAGTTAACAAAGACCTTCACTTTAGGAATAAATTTAGAAGCTGGTGAGTTGGAGCACACCTGTAATTCCCAGCAAATTGGGAGGCTGAAGCAGGAGAATCACAAGTTTGAGGCCAACCTCAGCAACTTAGTGAGACCCTGTCTCAAAACAAAAACAACAACAACAAAAAGATTGGGCATGTGGCTTAGTGGTTGAGCACCCTGGGTCTAATACCCAGTACCAAAAAAAGAAAATAGATTTAGAAACCATTTTTTTTCCTTTTTTTTTTTAAATACAGGAGCTTTGTATTCCGTTCTACAGTTCAAAGATTCCCAACAATCTACTTTACTCCTGTAAGTATAATGCAGACAATTAATTCATGATGAATTTGATGTTTAAATTTACAGTGATTCCTTTTAATACATTAACATTTTGCTCATTGTCATAAGACATGAATGATTAATGCAATTAATTTAAGCTATACTTTAAGTACATCTGAAGATACACTGGGAATTTCAATGTAAATAACCCATTCATGGCAAATTACAGAAGAAAATGTCCAGTCCCTTAACTTTCTGAAGTTCAAGATACATACTGTACAACATGGTGACTACTGTTACTAAAATATATTTACTGTTGAAAATCCTCCATAAAGTAGGCTTTAAGTGTTCTCATACAAAAAATGGTATGTGAGATGATGCATATGTTAATTAACTTTATTTAGCCACTCCAGAATATATACATAATACACAGATTATAATTTTTATTTCTCAATTTAAATAATTTGCTCCTTGTGTAGCATCAGTGCCTCAGTAGGCATCAGACTGAAAAAACAAATAAAAAAGGATCAAACATGATTTCTTAATTTTGCTTATCTATTTTTGTGGTGGTGGGATTGAACCCAGGGCCTTGCACATGCTAGGTAAGTGTTCTACCCCTGAGCTATATATCCCCAGACCCTTAAAATATTTTTGTTATCACCAACACGATACCAGTACATGGTTAAATGTCAGTTGGTACTGTAGATATCACACATGGCAGTTCTCCGCTCTGCCTCCCACCACCTATTCCGTCTTTTGGGGGCAGCCACCTTCAACTCTTAGCCATTACTCCTGGTATTTTCATCAATATTTTCAAATGACAACCTTATACAACTACTACTTTATTCTCTTGAATTCGAGGCTTTATTTCTTAATTCTCTACATGGAATATAAGTCAACTGCTCTCAAATCTTTCCCACAAAAGCCCTTTCTTACAATAATTATCACATTTTTTATATTTGATWCATTTTAATTTTACTTCCTGTGGACTCACATAGCATATTAAATTGAATTTCTTGAACTTTTTATTTTCTTGGAGTTCATGGCTTTATTTACTTGGTCTAGAGATGTAGCTAGTGGTACAGTACTTGCCTAGCATGTAAGAGGCCCTGGATTCAATCCCAAGAACTGTGTACACATACACACATGCATACACACACACACACATGCATACACACACATACACAAACACACACACACACACACACACACACACACACACACACACTCTTTACTTTGGTTTGCTTAGTTTGTTAAAGACCCAAGTTCTCTAAAGAACTATAAATTCTCAGGAATGATGATGTGCATCAGATAATTTATCAGTTGCTTTTCTTTTTTTCTCCTTTGGAGATATCTTTCCTGGAACATTCTGTCATCATCCTGCAATCTGAGCTGGTTGCTTTTAAAATGTACTGGGGATTGTACCAAGGGGTAATTAACAACTTAAATACATCCCCAGTCCTTTTATTTTGTATTTTTAACATGTGGTCTCACTGAATTGCTAAGGCTGGCCTTGAACTTGTGATGCTTCCTTCTCAGTCTCCCCAGCTGCTGGGTTACAGGCCGGCTCCACTATGCCCCATGGAACCGAATACTTTCTAGTTTGATGCACAGTGTCCTTGGGACATGCCTTCACCGTTCTCTTGGAAAGTTCTTGGTATAGGCCACCATTTTGGTAGGACATGTTCTCCAGTGGTCCCTCTTTCAGGCTTAGTGTTGGCTCCTTCTTTGATAAAGGGGTTCCTTGGGGGGAAAATAAAAGCAGGAACCTAGGTCAGAGGCATAGAGCAGACCCTCCAGGGATCTACACAAAAGGAGGTTTTGGGGACATGTGACAAGGCAACTACCTTCAACTCCCCCAGGGTCTGCAGGATCACTATGAGGATCAGCAGTGTCTTTATAAAGAAGCAGCCCAGCCTCATGTCTGGCGTAGAATAGGAGCTCAGCCCATGGTGGCTGCTAATGTTGTTTTTATATTAAAATTCCTGTGGAAGCTCAGAGGATGAGGGCAGCCTTGGTCAAAAAGGCCCCCCCCCCGCCCCCCGCTCCCGCCAGAGATCAGCTCCTCTGCTTTCTTTAGGTCTCGACTAAAATCATCTTCACCGGGAGGTCTTCCCTAGTCACCTATTCAGGATTCCCACCACCCCTTCCTAGGTTTCTTGTTTCCCCAAAGCATTCTTCACTGTCTGACACACTGCCTTTTAAAATTAACCTATCCTGTTTGTATGTGTCTTCTGGACAAGGATAGCAAGCTTCACAAAGGCAGGGATTTCTATCTGCTCTTGTCCCGTATTCCTAGCTCCCAGAAAGTGACTGCCTATGTGTTTTGTTGACTTAAGTAATTAAAAAACCATCAGAGCCGTTCAGTTCATCATTGTATTAACAATAGATAGGAAGAATATCTAGTCTCTTTTCTTTGAAAATATGAAATAACCTTTCTGTTTTAAAATATTTCCAAGCTGGGTGAGGTGGCGCACGCCTGTAATCCCAGCAGCTCGGGAAGCTGAGGCAGGAGAATGGCAAGTTCAAAGCCAGTCTCAGCAACTTAGTGAGGCTCTAAACAACTCAGCAAGACCCTGTCTCTAATAATATATAAAAAAGGGGATAGGGATGTGGCTCAGTGATTAAGCGTCCCTGGTCCTCCCCCCAAAAAACATTTCCAAATGCATGTACATGAGTTATGATAAAAATGAGATTTTTAAGATAAGGAATTAATCAATAGGATATCAAAAAATGAACAGGATATAAGCAATCTGAAAGTGAAAAATAAAACATTATTTTAGGGTAGTTTGATGGACTATAGTATAGTTAAATTACAAATTTGGGATCCAAAAAGACCAGAAAGTAAACATTTGACAAAGAAATTGAGGTAACTGAACAGAGCTCAGAAACAAACCCTAGAATATTCAAGATTTTTATGCTTGGTTGATATGACAAGTCAGTAGAAAAAGGGAAAATTGTTTTATGCTAAAAAAACTGATTAAGCTCAGTGGTAAAGCTCTTGCCTAGCACATGTGAGGCACTAGGTTTGATCATCAGCACCACATTAAAAAAATAAATAAATAAAATAAAGACATGGTGTCCATCTACAACTAAAAAAATATTTTGAAAAACTGATTAAGTAGAAAAAAATAAGTTATACTCTTCATACCATATATTAAGATAAGCTTCATACTGATTAAAGAATCAGATACTTTTGAAAATCATAAACCAGGAGAAAATATGTGAATATATATCTAAGGGTAAGTCAGACTTTCTGAGATAGTAGCAATGAAAGAAATTTCAAAGGAAAGGAAATATCACATTTGACTTCAGAACATTTAAAATTTCTTCTATATCAGGAAACAAACTGTAAGCAAAGTAAATAGGCGGATGCAAATTAGGAAATGTATTTTCACTTGGCAGATAGCAGGTGGAGTGACTCAGTGGTACAGCGTAGGCCCAAGCATCACAAAAAAAAACAAAACAGGAAAGAAAAAAAAAGGTAGATAAAGGGTGAATGGCTTTATCTATAAAACTCCCTTAACAATCTATAGAAAAAACATCAATGGCCAGGAGTAGAGAATTCATATTAAGAAATTCAGATATCCAATAAAGGTGGGGAAAAAACCTTTTGATTTCAATATTTCCGTGTGAAAAACTAAAAAGCTTAGTGGAAACTATATGCAGGTGGTGTGGTAGGCTAGGTAATGGCCCCCAAATATGTACTCATGGCCTAATTCCTAGATCCTATGAGTGTTACCTCAGATGGCAAAGATTTTGCAGATGTCATTCAGTTAAAGATTCTGAGATGGGGAGATTATCCTGGATTATCTGGGTGGGGTCTAAATGCAATCACAAGGGTCTTTTTAAAAGAGACGGGGAGATGTCACACACGCGCGTGCACAGCAGGCAGTACAAATATAGAATCAGAGATTGCCATGGTGTAGCTACAAGCCAAGAAATGTTGGCAGCCACAGAAGCTGGAAGAGGCATGAGATAGAGTCTTCCAGAGTCTCCTGAGTGAGCCTGGCCCTGCTGATGTCTCAACTTTAGCCCAGTGAAACTGACTTCAGACATCATCCTCCAGATCTATGACAGGTTTTGAGACTGTGGTTTTAAGCCATCAAATGGATAGTCATTAGTTACAACAGCCATAAGAAATAAATACAGGTGGGGATTATCGGCAGGTGAGTTCAGGGGAATGGATGGGATGACCATCTGGCTTTTCCTTTGGTGGTCCATGGACATCTGAACCTGTAGGTCTCTAGGACACTTCAGTTGCTTCAGAAGGACTTGTGGGTCTCCCCTGGGGTGTAAACCAGTCACCAGTGATCTGGGTGCTGAGTGGGGGAAGGAGCCTGGGAGCTCACCATTCATGGGCAGAAGTTTGCTGTGTTGCAAGGACCCTGTACTCACAGTGCCGGTGTCTCCGAGTCCAGCTCTCTGGTGAAGTCTTCTGAGCTTTTCCTGGATTCTGTGGAACACCAGCCTGCTGATGAAAAAACTGAGGAATCTGAGGCACTGGGCACCTGTAGGTGGTAGGGGCTGGCGGCAGGAGGTCTGGCTGACCAGTTTCACTGCAGGTCCTAACCCCACCTTGGCCCCAGCTGCTAGGCAACTTCCCTTCCCACCTCCCTATGGGAGACAGAGGTTTGGTTTCTGGAGAAACCAGAGATCTGGACTTGGAGACCCAAGTACTGGGCAACACAATTAAAATAATTTTATTTATTTATCTACTTTGAGCTGGGCATGGTGGCACAGGCCTGTAGTCCCAGCTACCCAAAAAAGCTGGGGCAGGAGAATTGCTTGAGTCCAGGAATTCCATACCAGCCTGGGCAGCATCATGAGACCCCTGTCTCAAAAGCAAAACAAAACAAAAAAACAATAATGATTTTCTTTTAGTTCAGGTTGGTGTCCTGTAGGGCGAGCATTCCGGCGTGTAAAATAGCACAAGGTGGCAGATTCTGATGCATTTTGCTAGTGTTCTTGTGCTTTTATGGAGAAGATTTGGCGGGTTTCTTACTCTATCATTTTCTCTGTTATCACCCCAT